TTAATTTTATACTTAAACTAGACGTAATACTGATAACTTCTACTCATTGTCATTTATTTATTATATTTTCTAGATGACCAATATGAATAATCTATAAAAAACTAAATGGAAAAACAGTAAAGCAATTTTGGTTCTAGTACATTAAATTGAAAATGTATTAAACGGAAATGATAAATGTTAATTAAGCACCGGTTTTATGAACGTTATTAAATGCAATACAATTGTACTGAATTTTATTGAAATAATATCATTCAAATTATGAAACTATAAACGAGTTTAATAACAATAATATTATGAAGTAATGAAAGTCGTAACGATTATAGCGTTCATTAACCTAATTGGTTATATGAAGCGGAGTTACAAAAACGATGCAATTTGAATGCAACTATTTAATTAGGGATTTATACAAAATTTATATATATATATGTATATATATATATATTTATATATATACAATATGCCAATCAGTTCTTATTGTTTATTAATTATTGAATTATTAATTGTTAACTTCCCGTAGGGTACTTATAGTAATGGGCCGAAAATCGGAAATGAAATTTTTTGCATATCTTCACGTTTTGAAGGTTTCTGAACATTTTGGCATACCTCAGAAAAAATGGATGTGTGTGTGTGTTTTGAATATCCGCATTATTTCATCCACGTTTTCGGGCGCATGGATCAACCAATTTGAACGGTTCAAAAATCATTCGATTCCTATTGATAGGGAGATGTGCTGATTAGTTTTGGCAAAGGCAGGTCCAGCCGTTATGGAGATACAGAGCAAAGAGTGCCAGAAACAGAAATCGAGATTTTGAGAGAACGGAGCGTCTGATTTGAATCATCTAAAAAACATTCAGTTCGTAATAATGGGGAGAAGTGGTGATTAGTTTTTGGCAAAAGCAGGTCCAGCCATTTCGAAGGTACTGTGGCAGTTTTTGAGAGAAGTAATCGTCCGATTTGAATGATTCAAAGATCTATATACTTGTGTTAACAAAATAATTACTTTTGGAAAAAAATTGTTTCAATTTTTTTTGTTTCATAATTTTTTTTGTATATCGAAAATAATTCAGATTTTAATTTCTGACTAAAGTTCTAATATACTTCAAACAAAATAATTCCAACTTTGCAATTCAGTTCAAATAATTCTTATAAATATTAGACAATGTTACAATATTCATAATAATCTATTTTGAAGCATTTAATATTCCTCGAACATTTCGTTACGGTACGGGAAGTTCCAGCAATTTGCCTTAAGGCACGATGCCATACACCACTAGTTTTTTTTCTGTTTTGTTTATACATTTTATTATGCATTTTTTAAAAATATTTTATTTCCTTTTAATAGTGAGAATCCAAATGTGCATGTTATTTCAAAAAATATTTTAATTATAGTTGAGCCGCATCTTTAATAAAAGAAATATACCTAAATAATATGTTACGATATTATGATAATTAAATATTTCGTACAATAACAAAACTTTATACTATTCAATTATAAATTATACCAGCAATAATACATTAAAAATTATTTATGATTACTGATAACCTCAGTACCAATGTTATTAATAATAATAATAAAACTTACCGGTTAAACTCGCAGACACGATCAAAAATATCCAAGCAACAATTAAATTTTTATCTGCCATCGTTTTGTATATTTACTAATTTATAACTCTCAAATTTCCTGGCACATTGCACCGAAAAGTCCTTAAATTACTTATTGAAATACATCACCAAATGCATTTTTAACTTAAAATTAAACCACGTGCTTATTTCGCCGATCATGTCACATTAAATTCAGCACAAGTCGCCTTTTCGGAGTTCAAAGGACTACTGATTCAGTTTCAGTTTGACCGACTGAAGAGGGCATGGACTATGTAGTGGCGCGGGATATTTTCAAGAACATGCGCTTTGGGTTGTTACCACACTAACATACTTTTATAAAATGAGGTAACAATTTTATTTATAACTTAGAAATAAATAATTCGGAATGATTAAAACATATGTTTTAATTTAATTTTTACTTTATATAAAAATTAATAAATTTTAATACGTTTTATGTTTTAATCAACAATTAATAAATTAGGTTCAGTATTATTTTATTTTATAATATATTTTATAATGTTTTCTTAATTTATTTCTTTAAAATTTCAAGTTACAATCTCTTTTAAATTTTATTACCATCAACATGACATTTGTTAACATTTGGATTAAGGTAATTAAATCAGTCAGCAAATAAGTAAAAGTAATTTGTTATAAAATTTCCACTTCAAAAACTTGTTTAAGTTTTAAATTTTTTAATTTTTTTTGTTTGTTTTTTAAATTTCACCCGCAACTGGTGTTGCTAAAACAATGTCTCATAATACGGTAGATATTAAATACTAAAAATAAATATAAATTGATTGATCATTAATTAATAATAATAGTTTTAAATTAAATTAATCAATGCTTTAAGAAATAGCATTCAATTACATAAAATAATTGAATTAGACTAACAAAAAATGTAAAACTATTAAATTTTAAAATCATTAATTGAGTATAAAACAATGCATACAAAGCGCATGTCGTTCGTGCCTCGAGCGCCAATACTGTTTATGTAACTAAAGCTAAGACCGTATAAAAACATATTCTGCTGAAATCTATTGAGTTTATCATTTAAGAAAATAATTATAATAAAGTTAAATATACATTATCTGAACGTTGTATTATCACAACTACAGTCAAAAACTGCAATACTCACTTATGACACACAGTTATGAAGGATCTAAGCGCAAGCGTTAAACCAATAACATAAAACTGACCTGGTTTCTTCGAGACTTCCAACATGCAGCGCCGACGACCCGGGTACGTTTGGCGTCCCGGGTCGACACGCCTTTGTTGTTGTTCCCACAAAAACCAGGAATAAAATGAATAATGTAGTTCGACCATTTTCATAACATCAACAAACAATTTTGGTAAACAGTTTGTAAACAAACTATTTGATGTTGTATCAAAATATCGATAAAGTAGATACAATTGCCATCTTTTGGTGAATTTGATTTTAATTCGTGTATAAAAAAATTAGCTTTGACAACTGACAACACTTGTAAGTAATAATAAGGAGACGTAAATAATTCGTTAATGCTTTCTTAAATAAATATTATGTAAATATTATAGGGCTGTTAATAACTAGCTGTACGTGCGGCATGGAATTTTTATATCAATTGCTATTTATTTTTAATCTATTATATTAGCTTTAATTAAATTTTTTTATACAACACGTTTGGCATTTCTCGGGCTGTTTAAGGGATTCGACTTTATTTTAATAATTACTAATGGTTTACTATTGAAAAATTTGCTAGTGGTGCATGACATTATGTATTCAGATTTATTTAATTTGAAAATTGATTTGAAACAATTGTTATTAATCATTGATTAATTTTCTAGAATGTTAAATTGCGATTGGGGAAGTTCCAGCATAGTCCCAGCCATAGATAAAAGAAGAGTATAGAAGAGTATGTGGTTCCAGCAATTTGCTTCAAAGTATAATACCACCATAGCATAACTGTTTTACGCAATCTTTAATAAAAGTAATAATTTTTGATATGCGTCGTTAAAGACATTCTATTGTTCTTCAATTTTGCCTAATTACAATTGCAATTATAAATTATTTATATTTATAATATAAATATAATCCAGAAAAGGATGATCCGTAATATATTTATTTAATCACGAGCTGTACTGTTATTTGGGATACCTTTATGTGTCGATCAAGGGTGACGAAACACGAGGCCTTTGCAAGTGCGAGTGAATACGATACACTGATAAGTTTAAATATATAGAAGACTATAGCCCAATCATACTTCTGTTGGGATAGGACCACCTCATTTAATTTTAGAAACCACGTTTATATAAAAAAAAATTACTACTAAATCAAATCCTTATTATCCTGGATTGTTCTAACTATTCATATACATTTAGTAAACGCTTCGGACTGAATATCTGCATTAAATTCTGCAAAATAAAATAAAAATATACTCAACCCACATTTTACGAGATTTCTCGCTACCACGCACTTTACTCCGTAAAAGCATTAATGCAATATGTCTATTACAATTTTATGGGTCGGTTGTAACTATTCTTAGATTATATTTTTATGTTTAGTCCATAATCTTCTAATCATGTGCCCTTTTTACCATTTATAGTCTGAATATGTAATTTAGTATTTGCTATAAAGTGCACTTGAAACGATACTAGACGTTAAGATTCTATAACCAATAAATAACGAAAAGTGTTATATAAATCTTTTATATGCACTTTATTTTAGTACAGCGCGACCATCAGTGTAGCAAGTATGCCTTGATATTGTGTAATTGGATTAAATAAAAAAAAGTTGAAAAGTGTACACAGAAACGTTATAACATATACCAAATTTTTATACCAGTGTAGCAAGTATGCCTTGATATTGTGTAATTGGATTAAATAAAAAAAAGTTGAAAAGTGTACACAGAAACGTTATAACATATACCAAATTTTTATTAGTTTGCATTCTTATGTAGTTTAATTCACACGCGCCCAAAGAAGTAAGTACTTTTCAAAAATGTAATTTCAAGTTACATATATTTAAGACAACGAATACACTTTCGAAAAGACCAGTAAAAACTCCTTTGAAAAGCTTCGATCGCGATAAATTAAGGCATTTTAAAAATATTCAATACTCTGAACATATCTAAAAATAAATTCACATGATATGTTAACATATCATGTGAATTTATTTTTAGAAAATATTAAATATATAAAATATTCCAATATTTAAAATACTAGCATTCTCTAATTTTCTCAATTAAAACTTACAAATTAAGTATTCACCAATTTATTTACAATTTAACAATATACATTGCAAATAAATAAATACTTATGACAACAATTAGTGAGCAGATGTAAATAAATTAAATTAATGTCATGTAAGCAATTCGAAGTACATCACAGATATATTCGTAATCATAAGTAAAAAATAAATATTTGTTAACAATTTTAATACTATTAATTCACAGATTTTTACTATTTTCATTACACTTACTTTGCAAATGTTTGCCACTTGTGCTTGGAATACTTTGATGTGTTGTTTTAGTAATTTTAGCAACACTTTGTTTAGTTGACTCCTCCAAGATGTTTTTGGTATCGTTTGTTGAAACTTTTTTCTCTTTTAAGTTATTTAATTCGGCTGTTTGTTTCATTTTAATATTATTAGTGTAATCCAATTTCTTCACATCCTGCTATGAAAAAATTATTAGTAACATGAAAAAATATTCAAACTGATAATAATATAAATACACAGATTATTTAAATAGTGGCATGCATCTTAATTTGTTTTGGTCTTACATTTTTGTCATAGGATGACTGGCCAGACATTAGCTGATATTTCCATGAGAGAATTTACATCTGAACTCATAAATAAAAATTATGTTAAATTTTGAAGGAAAATTCATATTAATCTAGCATGCACAATAAATAAACAACCAACTTTTAAGAAAAATAAGATAACTTGATAGGTAAGTGGCATTTTAAATCAAGGCAAGTTGCATGAACTTCCCGACATGTTAAATAATTGACTTAATCAATAGTATAACAATTTATGTGTGATTTATAAGTATACCGAGTAGTTGTAAACCATCATAACGTTAAAAGCTATCGCAGATTATTCAGGATTGATTGTAGGTTAAAATTAAGAAAACGGCTCGTCCGGTCAACGCGCAAAACTAATCAAGGCAAGTACTTATCGAGTTAAGTCGAATGGTTTTAAAATCTTTGAAATCGGTTCAGCCGTATTTGAAAAATATCGACGAGAGTCCAATAATCGACTCACATATATGCATACACATACTTTTTCCAAATTTGAATTCATTCGAATCACAATGACTTGAAATGACGAGAAGACTTAAAATAAGCAAAACGGCTTTTTGGCGAGTACAAACATCTTTGGGAAATTAACAAATTCATTAAGTTATAAATATTGCAGCCAAATATGAGGAGAACTATATTCAATTACCTTTGTAGCACCGGATGACGGTGGGACGGTGCTTTTTTGTTGAGAGGTTTCTTTAGAAGTCACTTTGGTACCTGGTACAGGTGAGATTGGCGCATTGTTGATTTTACTTTGTGTAGATTCGGAACTCTGCTTAGCTTCTTTTTCTTTCTTTTCTTCTTTTTCAATAACTTCTTCCTTTTTGAGCAATTGCACTAGTTCGTCAAGTTGTTTAGTACTCATGTGCCCATCTTCTTTCTCAACAATGTCAATAACCTATTAAAATTATGAACCACATTAGTTTCTTAATAGAGTTGCCAACTTATTTTAAAATAAAATAGTTCCATATTTATGAAAAAACTTTATATAATTTTAGTATAATTTAATTATTACCTTTAGTACATCTTCAACTTTGATGTGTCCATCTTTATCTGTATCAATCTTGCTTAATATATTCTCAATCAATTTCAAACGATTTTCATCAGGTACATTCTTGACTTTCTTTATGGCTTCCATAAGTTCCTCAATAAGAATCTCGCCTTTAGCTTTCCGCTGTTCTTGTTCGCCTTAAAATTAAATATTTCCATAAAAATAATTTGTAACCATAACGAAGTCTATATAATATATAAAAATACTTTGTGTTTCAGTAGCGCAAGTTTGTGCTTGTTGGAGAGATTTGGCTTTCTTTTCTGACTCCTTGTTTTCAAGTTCTTGAACAACCGTGTCCATTTTAGTTATCATTTTGTTCACCTTCTTCAGCAAACTGAAATAAAATAATAAATTGGTAAAGATCAAATTCAAATAAAATATAATTTAATATGATTACCGTTTAGCGCCCTTTGTTTCTTGTATTTCATCCTTAGGTTTTTCTGCAGCAACAATAGCTTGTTGCAGCTCTTGCACATCTTCTTGATAGTCAGCAATTTCTTCCTTGATGTCTTTGATAACCTCCTTCTCAATAACTAAAGAATTTTTATCTTTGGACAAAGTATCAAGCGCATCTTCGACAACCTGAAATTAAAAGTGAAAAATTTAGTTTTATAAATTAACTAATTATAATGATTGATAAGTTATCGATAAGTTACCGCCAAATCCTTTTTAGTAAACTCTGTAGCATCTTTCTTTACTTCCATAATTGGCTTCTTAGTACTGACCGTCGCACTAGGGATAGGAGATACTTTCGGCGGCACTGCAGCTATTGATGGAGCGCCTGATGTTGGAATCCTTGAGTCCACTACTGCCGCAGTGTCTTTAGTACTTATTGTTTTAGCTGGGTCTACCAGCAGTTCTGATGTTTCTGCCAGTTTTCGTCTTTCTTCTTCTTTCGCCTCCTGCCTTTCTTCATGAATCTTTCGCTCTTCTTCTTTGATCACCTATGCAAGACAAGTTAGAACTTTAGTAACATCAATTTGTTCATTATTAGCATTTTGACTGCTATGGTCTTACAAGTCTCATTTAACTAATTAAAGCACTTACCTCAATCTTAGTCTTGTTATCAATTTTGCCCTCTCTTTCACCAATGGCAGCTTTCGTTTGAGTGACAATAGTTTCAGGCAAAACACTAATTGTTGCTTTCAGTTTATCAGAAACAGGAACGTTTTCAGGCAGCATAAGAGCTCTAGAAAGTAGCAGTAAGGACGGTGGTACCTATGAAACAGTTTATCAAAGCATGAAATGTAATCATCAATATAAAAATTAATGAATAATATTTATAACAGTTAAAATAAAAATAGGTCTACTGGTAGATACCTTTTCATTGAGGCTAAGGTTTATCCAATCAGTTAATTGTCTTCGAAGTCTATGTTCTGGCATTCCATAAGCTCTCATACCGCGTGCTCTGCAAGCTTGCTGGACCTCAGAAAGTGTCATGGTATCAATTCCCTCCCTTTGAATTAATTTGTCATCAGCTGCTAAAGACCGCAATTTCATTCGCAACTGAAATCGTAAGAAATTCGTTGTGCCTGCAATACAATTATAATTATAAATATGATATATATATTAAAAAATATTTTAAAAATACAGTACCTAAAGTATTTATTTCAAGAACTCGACACAGTGCAGTCAACTGGGGTCTAGAAAGTGAGTCCAATGTTATCTCATCCTCAAAAAGTTTTGAAAATTTCATTATCTCTTCATTACTGGCTTGCGCACCCGACTGTCTCATTTTTGTGAACCATTCTGAAAACTCTTTAGCTAATTCTGATTTATGATCTTTATGTTGGAGAGTCATGTCATCTAAAGTTTGTGTCAAGAACTTAGCCATTTCCAGTTTTACCTACAATATTATTAATTTCTAATTATTTGTACATACATAAAATTGAATGTTTATTTCAATTTTTTCAAGATTATTAAGATTGTAAATTAAATAAAGTAAACAAACCTTTAGGCTTTGTTTAAGTTTATCTTCCTTCTCTGTCGCTGTTTGAAAAGTTGATGGTAACATTCCAGGAAAAAGTTTAATTGCTACTGGCAGTAAAAGCTCCATAAAAGGTACAATTATAAACACAGAAAACGGCAACAGTCTGAACATATCAGCAGTAGTTCTGACCAAAAGTCTGTGCTCTCTTCTGGTCAAGGATTTTCCATTTAATATTCGCCATATCAATTTTCTTGATACATTAATATCAATAAACAAAAGTCGAAAACCATGATAATAATGCAGGAGTTCATTAACAATCCTTTGTTTCAAAGTTTTCTTAACTGGTGCTTTTTCCACTGTACCTATAAGTAATATTAGAAATAGCTTAGTTATAATTTGAAATTATATAATTTCTTAATGTTTTATCCTAAAACCTATTTAAAAGAATCTGAATATTATTCTACTATAGTAAATATACCTGCAGCTTTATCAGGAGAAGGTTTGGAAACAACACATTCTTGTTGCTTCAGTTTCTGTTCTTCTTTTAGTTTCTGAACTGTGACTTCAACCTTCGACGAAGGCTTTGAAACTCCTTCTTTTTCATATAATCTGGTATTTGTATTAAAATTTCTCACAAGAAGTACAGTTGGTATTGAATTGGTATTTGAATATTGATATTCCTCCAAGGGAGAGAATGACTGACTGATACATAAATAATTATGATTAAGAAAATTAGTTTGATATAAATTAGTACGGGTTGGCTTTGAACGAGCTAAATAGTATGCCGCACGATTTAAACTCATTTTTAAAAATTATACTATTCGGACTTCCAGTTCAGAACTTTGTTTAGGAACTCACAGTTAAGTTGTTCGCAATTAAATAAGGCGTGGTGCAATTCAAATCTGAAAAACATTGCAATTTCAAAAATTACAAATCTTAATTTAAAATAATATTTGATATTTAGGATATATTTGACATATGAATACGCAATATAAAACAATCACATTAGTAGAATTCATGCAGCGAATAAACTTTTTGTCACCTAGTTTTGACGACTCGTACATAAATATGTTATATTTTCTATAAATATTACTCATAACTTGTTATAAATTGTTTATTCTGAATAATAACAATCAATCACTTCGTAACATAACCTTTCAAGTTTTTTCAATTGTCAAAAACTATTAGGCAGCTGTCACACACAACAATTTTTAATAGGTAACGGCGTAATTGATTATTTTAGTTAATAATTAACGGATTTTTTATAGACTTGAACCTGGTTTATTTTAAAAAGATAGCAATCATGACGTTTGCAGAAAATACTGTAGAAATATTTTAATGAAGATTTTATAACAAAAAAGGAAAAGCATGATATTGAAGCAATATATCACAGTAATAGATTAGACAATCACAAAGGTTCTTATAGTCATAAACTGAAGCATAAATTTATTATTCCTAATTTTAAACCAGTTACTGAAATAAGGAAATTTATTAATTTCCTTACTATTATTCCCATCACTGAATGCCTTAAAAAATGATTGAGGTGTAGGAAACTTAATATGCTGTTTGATTGTAAATTAGTGAGAGTTTTTTCTCATTATAGGTAAATCAGAGCATCTCAGCAAAAGCTTCGCGCTATCTTCTGAGTAAAACTGACCTTTGATCAGCTTTTGTGAAATTTCATTATATTATTTATTGTTATTGCCATCTTACACAGCTAAAAAATATAATTTTGAAAATATGAATCGCATAGCAAACTGTGTATTTTGTCAAATATGCGAAGGAACTGCTCCAAGTAACACCATATTTAAAAATGAAAATTTTATAGTATTTGCCTGCCGAACACAAGCAACTAAACATCACTATTTAGTTTGTCCAATTCAGCATATAAATGATGCAAAGTCACTAGTACCTGGCCAAGAAACTCTTGGTAAGTATATTCCATTGACACAGATCTATGAAATAAAATTTTACAACACTTTATTTTCCAATTTCATTTCTTTTATATTAAGTTAATATTTTCTAGTCGAAGAAATGTACAAAATAGCAAAGCAAATAGTTATCGACAAGGGGGAAAATCTGAATGAAGCAAGATTTGGTTTTCATTGGCCACCCTTCCATAGCATATCACATTTGCATTTACATATTTTGGCTCCTGTTGATGGTTTAAGATTTTTTCATAGGCTTATTTACAAACCGAACAGCATGTGGTTTGTGTCAGTAAGTATTTTTATATTCTTATTTGTTAAGTATCAGTATTCATGCAATATTGAAAGTATGCTTTTTTAATATAGCCAGAATATGTGATAACATGGCTGAAAACTCATAGGGCAATTGGAAATGAAGAAACTTCATCCAACTAAGAAAGCAATAATGTGATACACAAAAATATTTTGTGGTAAACAGAATAATGTTTTTATTAATCCAAAATGTAAGTTTAGCAGTATTGTATATATTCTGCTATACATATAAATATTTTTTGCTATTAGGTTTAAAAATAGAAATGTTTCACTATTAATTAGAATTAGGAATTCATTTTTTGCAATTTGACTAAAATCAACAAAATTGTCACAAATTATGAAAATAAATAAAGTTAGCTTATTATCAATTTATTAATTATAAAGATCTCATATAAAAAATTCAATCATTCTATGACATTTTATCACATTACAAATGTGATCACTTGATATAAGCAAATAAATTAACATGGACCTTGGCCACATTCTTAAAAACCTATATATGTTGATAAACGCATTACAACTCAGTCTTTCTAGCTTTTCCAGAGCGATCATAGCCCTTAAGCTCTTCTGTGGAATGTTTGGCAATGTATTTAACAAAGTCATCTACTTCTCGGCCACCCTAAATGAAATTCATTAATTGGTTTTAACTCTTGATAAAATCAATTTGCATTTATGTTGTATTTCACACATACCTCGTATCTTACTGGAGAGTCTTTAGAATGTTTAGGCGCCCAGTACAATGTAGGAAAACCACTAACTTCATAAGTTGATGGAACGTCATTGTTGGAAGCATCGATTTTAACAATTGCTACATCTTCATCTTTCATCTACAATTTATAAATTATATATATATATATATATATATATATATATATATATTAATATCAAAACTCATACTTGTATGATAGTGATTTTTATAATTACCTTTTCACCCAATTCATCATAAACTGGAGCCAGTTTTTTACAATGTCCGCACCAAGGAGCATAGAATTCAATCAGAGTATCTTTTTCATTATTTGTGACAATTTCATCAAAGTTCTTTGCAACAGCTACTTTGACTGGTCCATCATTAGTCTCAGGAATAGGTTCAGATTTCATGTAGACTTCCAATTTACCTTCAAGCATATCATCAACAAATTCTTGGATTGCTTCTACCCTGTATAAATAAGTGTAAGTTACTAACATTTTTTACAGATGTTTTTAAAGAATTTATTTTACTCACGAAAATTCTTTCTGCATGATGAATTTTTCACCCTTTGCATTTCTGGCCAAGATAACAGGTTTGTCGTCTTTGACATGATCTAAGCCATATTCATTTAATTCATGTTGAAAATCAGCTTTGGAACTAATAGCGAAATTTACTTTAGTCTTGTCTTTTGCAACCTAAGATATAATGTTTCATATAAGAACACATACAGAACAGAATAGTTGACAAATTCATACCTTAAGAACTCTGTTTCTCCAGTAATTAGTTCCTTTAGCATTTTTAACATAGTCAACATCATAGTATGCAACAACAAGAGGTTTGCTGAACTCTTGCATGTTATCTCTAGTTCTGTGACCAACCAACCCATGGCTAAAATATATTTTAAATAAGTTTTACTGTACTAATATCCATAAGTAATATCAAACTTACTAATTTTGTTGAATGAAAGAACTCAGTGCTTCTTTTGTTGCCTTGCCTTCGAATTTAACAGAACTTTCTTCAAATTTGTTTTTCAAATGGGGAGCGCGGAACAAGATAATATCATCACTGGAAAGTAATAGATGATATACCATCTCATTTTTTTAATACTGTAACAGTGCTAATTTAAACAAGTGATAATTTTACCCTACCTTACACTATATTTTTCTAATACATCTTTGTTGGAAGTGTGAGCAAATCGAACTTTCTCTCGCATTTTGTCAGCCAGTTTCAAAAATTCTCCCTTGAGATCGGATTCTTTCTTGAAGAAACCTACTACAGCAACTTCATTTGGTTTCAAGAAAGCTTCCAATTGAGCCAACGATGTGACATCCTTAGAAGAAGGTCCAACCTGAGCTCTCATATATTTAACAATACCACCTGATGAGAATTATTATATTAGTAAAGCAATAAAAATTAGAATTAAAGGAACAAAGATTGATGAAATTCACTTAAAGCATTATAACATTGTACCATAATTGCATTACATATAGACAATTGTTTATATATCATACCAGCTTCTCGAGGTCCATTATAGTCTTGTGATAATTCCCCATTACGGAATATTTTCAAAGTTGGATAGCCAGAAACTGAAAACTTTCCACAAGTGCTTTTACCGCCTTCAGTACAATCAACCTAGAATTGCACAATCATATTTTTTGTTTATTATTTTATCATTTAATTTTGCGCAAATTTATAACTAACATATGTCAGAACATCAAAACTAGATGAAATTTTATTACCTTAGCTAGAGCAATAGGTGTTTCATCTCCTTGAAGAGTCTCAGCAGCCTTTGCGAATTCGGGCTTCAAACGCTTGCAATGTCCACACCTTAACATTAAAACGTTAAAATTGTATAAATATGCCTACAAGTTATAAGTGAATAATATATAATTACCATGGTGCATAGAACATCACCAGAGCGGTTTCCAATTCACCCAATCTTGCTGTAAAGTCATCGTCTGTCAATTCGTGTACGTGTTCTTCACCGGCTAAACAAAAACTTGCGGCCGATAAAATAAACAAAGCTTTTAATATTAACATTGTGCTATAATATAAAACTTTAATAAATAATTTAAAAATTGGTATAAACGTATACCAATACGTGGCCAACCGGTTACTGCAAAAAAAAACAATAACCTTAATTATGTTTGAAGTTTTACCATCTACTGAAAACTGCCGTAAAGAGATAATAATTGTCTCATCCCACACAGTTTAAATGCCGTGTGGCGTGATCTCATTGGTTAAAATTCAAATGTTAGTATTACCTGATCTAATTATTAGCTTGTAAAACTGAAAAGCGGTAAACGCGATAAATTTAAACTGTTCTACTAATCTTAATTGCTGATTGTGCAATAACTGTTATGATATTGCGTCAATCATTTCAAAACATTGCAAAAACACTTATCATTTAGCGATTATTCAAAATGCAGATAGAATGCAAGGTGAAAATTTTGCACAGTAAATATTATATTATTTATAAATACACCCAGTAAACAAAATGCATTTTGTTTTTCAGTAAATTGTTTACATAAAAATATTTAAATTTTATTTGCATATTACTTTTATTTATAATATTTTTTGACTTGAAGAAAGCCTTCATATTTACACTAAATATTAATATTAGTCGAATATATAATAACAAACTTAAACAATAAACCAATATATATATATATATATATATATATATATATATATATATATATATATATATATGATGAAAGTTTCGTCGACGTTGATACATATTTGTAAATTTTTAGCAGCCCAACAGTCGAATTAAAAAAAAGAGATTAAATAACAAAATTATTTATTCCATTATACGTTTCGACACTTGATGTGTGTCATCATTCAGTAATCTAAAAAACATTTAACATAAATGCACAAGTGATGATAAATTGGTATGTATAATTTCCTCCTTTTATACATTTATATTTATCATCACTTGTGCATTTATGTTAAATGTTTTTTAGATTACTGAATGATGACACACATCAAGTGTCGAAACGTATAATGGAATAAATAATTTTGTTATTTAATCTCTTTTTTTTAATTCGACTGTTGGGCTGCTAAAAATTTACAAATATATATATATATATATATATATATATATATATTTATATAAAAATATGAGTATTTACTACACATTTGCTGTTCACTATACATTGCAAATAAAAAGCAATAATACTAATACTAATTTCTTTTCTTATATTTATTATGAACGAATTGAATTTATAGTGTAAACATTACATTTAATATTTTAAAAGATTTGTGCTTATGATGTGATATTATTGTTAAGCGTAGTATATATTATCTATTAATAGATATCTTCTAATAAATAATGAAATAAGTCAATAATTTGTTTTTCAGTATTCTGATTAGAATTTCATCTGATCCAATGATTTTCAATATCAAAGTTGTGTTGCCCGATAGGACAGAATTTACAGCCAATTTGAAGTTTTCAGATGTAATACAGTAGTTTACATAACCTCTAATATTTCATGCAATTTGATTTAAACATGATATTTAAAATACCAATTACTTACACCATAGCACATTTCTGTATGTTATAATTCACCATGAGGGTGAATATATTATTTAAAAGTTTATTTATAGGTATTCCAATAAGCATCACATTTTTTGATTCCGTTGGCTATGTAGCAAGAGTCGAAGGTTTGAAATTACAACATTAGAGAGTATTACTTGAGAAATTGTAACCCTCACCAAAAATATTATGTTCAATTAGGCGTATCTATGCAACCTGCCCTGAACCCAAATGCATCAAAAACTGATTATGTTTACTTATCACGCTGGGCTGTCCGTGATTACAATATAAACAGAGGTGATATCATTTCCTTGATATCACCAAAAAATCCTGAACAAATAATAATTAAAAGAGTTGTTGCACTAGAAGGAGATATTATAAACACCCCTTACTACAAAAGACCATATATGAAAATTCCTGAAGGCCACTGTTGGGTTGAAGGAGATCACACTGGTAAGCTCATTTCAAATAGTTCATTGCTTTTTATTTTAAAAATGGTTATCGTTCTTACATAGGTCATTCATTAGATAGTAATTTTTTTGGACCAGTTTCTTTAGGACTAATAACAGCAAAAGCATCTTGTATAATTTGGCCCCCCACAAGATGGCAAAAGTTAGGATCATATATACCAAAACAAAGACAACAAGTATATGTAGAAAATGTACAATAGCTAATTTATTACTTTAGAATGTATTAGAATATCAAATGTAAATATTTATTAAATATAAATACAATTGTTATATTTTTTTCAAATCATATTTGCGCAAAACATTTTCCGTTTCCTGGCAAGCCATGCCTTCCCTTAGAATCTTGTAGCATCCACTTTTTGATAAATCTACCATAGTAGATGCCGCTCTGCTTTTGGGGTCTTCAGAAATGTTTCCACCATCAAAAATTGCAGGAAGTTTATTCCAGATAGCACTAAATTCTGATATGGTCAAAGAACTTGGTTCTCCTCTTAAATTTGCGCTTGTTAAAGCTAATGGAAATCCACATAATTTCGTAATAGTTCTTATGAACTTATGATCTGGTATTCTAATACCTATTTTTTCAATACCAGGATTTAGGAATGGACTATTTAATAAGTTACTTTTGTATAAAATTATTGTAACTGGGCCAGGAAGTAGATCATTTAGTAAATCATCAGATAAATGGTATGATAAAGTGTATTGACGAAATTGGAAAAGGTCACTCACACATATTGCTATTGGCTGAGCCTCATTACGAGCTTTTATATCATATAAATGCCGTAGTGCCGCACAGTCATTTGCATTACAGGCAACTCCATAAACAGTGTCAGTGGGTAGTGCTATAACTTCACCCGATACTAATAACTTCACAGCACAGTCTACAGCTAGGGGTTCACTACAAGATATAATTTTGGTTTCTCTAATCTATTAATTTTAGGTGACGGCACAATGCAATCATTTGCCAATTGCCTTTCACCCATTTTAATAAAATTATTTATTATCTGTGATATATTAAATCGATTAGTAAGCAATGATCTTGCCTTGAAAATACCCATGTGAATCCTTATCTAATCCTTTCATCAAAACACTAAAAACTATTCCTTCCAATTATAACCACAGGATTGGTTACAGCACTTATAAAATGTAGTCATCGGCTCATCAGCAGAACGTGTTTGCATTTGCATGAAATATGCACGACCATGGCCACAAGAAGGACATACAGCATCAGTAGAATCTACATTTTCCCATGCAGCAGCACCGCCCATAACATGACCAATTTCCTAAAATAATAAAGAATTGTTAATAAAGAATTGAAACTAATAAACATCCAATAAAAACAATTCTAGGAATATTGGTTAATAAATATATTAATTACTAAGTCAACATAGCTAGTCAACAAGTATTTAAAAGTAAAACATTTAATGAACCAATGACTGCCGATGATGCAGACAAAAATATTGCGCAATATTGCAGAATATTAAATTTTACGCGTTTAACGAAAGAACATCAGAACTTTCGTGAATTAAACAATTTAGTTAATACTGAAACAAATACAATGTTTGCCAAAAACTGTTTATTATTAATTCTTTCATACCTTTAATTTGGGATATATTTTAAGTCCAATTTCCTTGACAATTGGATATACGTATGGACAAGTATGACAAGAGTAACGCAAATCACCTCCGGCCCCTGCTTCAACACATAAGAGATTTGCACAAGTGGGACAAAATAAAACCATAATCAATAAGGAATTAAATAATCATTTAACAAAAATTTCGAATAACCTCGAAGTGTCAAAAATTGCACATGTTCAAATGAAGTGTTGAATGACACATTGCTCTGACACATCTGCAAACTTTTCAAGTGCACCATCATCAAAATGTAAAACTTACCGTTAAGATTTATTTAAATTTAAATTAATACACACACACACACACACACATATATATATATATATATATATATATATTATATATATATTAAATGTTAAATATGAACAATACAACACTCAGATTTTTAACACACACTTTATTTAATAATTACAGACGTTTCGAGACCATGGTATGCCTCATCTTCAGTGTAATTTCAAAAACAGTTACTTATATACTACACATTCTTTAATATTTTATTTAAATTACATTTAATTTTTGTTATACACCAACTATTCCTTGCAATGCTTGATTCAGTATTAAAAAACATGTGACACTTACAGAAATATTCTAAATCAATTACTTTTAGCGTATGTGCAATATTAATATTTGGGTTTTGAATCATCGTGCTTATTTATTATGCGATTTATTCTTTTGAGTAAATCATGCGACCCCTGCTAAAAAAACTAGCTTTTCATTTTCAATCATAGCACTCGTATTTCATGTTGGATTTTTAAAATGTTAATTTAATTTAGTTTTTCATTATTTAATATTTACAATATCCAAAATTGCATGGTAAACTTCTCCTTATTGATATCGTAAGACCTGATTTGTAATCATCCTTGCTTTCCCGTCATATTCAGAGTATCAGATTGCTTCAATTGTAATTAGTGATCAATTTTGAACGTATTTTAGAAGTATTGTCCAAATATCAGTAAAAAATGCAAAGAAATTATACATATTTCTTGAACTATATTGAAAAAAAACTAATTATTAAATTTAGAGTATATAAAGTAATATAAAAGTAACTTCTATATAGAGTATTTAGAGTATGGACTCCCATTAGGTATAAAAAAAAGCCTTAAGATTCTCGTTCCAAAGTAAATTTTGCTTTCATTTTTTTCCATTTTCATAACCCTAACCACGCATGTCTTCAAACATTCATCAACATTCAAAGCAGGGCCTATTCTCTCAGAACAAAATTCTCGTTCAGGGGCTACTTAAGGGTCCATTTGTAGTCGCAAATTTGGCGCTAGTGAGCCGATGAAAAAGTATTTTTAAATGTTTTATGTTGGTTATTAAGAAAGGTGTAAAGGTGTAATTTTTGTGTAAGTTTACAACATATTCTAATATTATCTAGGGTTGGTTTATTTTAAAAATATTTACAACCGAAATAAAACATAGAGCATAGAACACAGTAACATTTATATAGACTGGTACATTGTTTTTGTATATACATACAGCATTTAAGCATAGATAAGTAAACATGGATGTACCTCCCGGACCAACCTCTTTTAATGAGTTTTACCTCAAAATGTAAAGAAGAATCATCTTGCAGTTCTTAAGTAAATTGTAAATACGAATTGTACTATTAACTATATATTTAACATTAAGTAGTTGCGTGTCGTAGACATGACATATCGACCTGTATCGACCGTTTAATTTCTCTACGTCGTTTTTATAAAACGACCTATTCGTTAAGAAAAGAAAAACGGACAACCGAATATATTTATAAACGGCGAGTTGCTAGGATATCTGTCAAACATGTAAAACATTCAATACAATTTTTCCAAAATAATTAACCTTTTTAGTTTTCTGTGATATTTTTTGCTTACTTTATGGATAAATTATTTATTTCTGTGAGATTGAGAACTTTAAAAACTACATATTCAAAATACATTTCAAATATGTCAAAAAAAAGTAAAAGCAAAACAAAAGCTATAAATGTAAGAAATTATTTCTGCAAGTTTTATTCTAAAGTCTAATAATTCTATTTATTTTTATAGGTTAAGGAAAATACAGAAGAACCTTCCCCAATATCACTTTCTAAAACTGGCAATGTTTGTATTAAGGTGTTAGCAAAACCTGGAGCTAAATTGAATTGCATAACTGGTGCGAATTGTAATAATTTTGTTTAAGTTTCTAACATATTTTAAAATTAAGCATTTAGTAACTTGACACTGGTATTATTAGATAACTTGTAGAATGTAGAGTACTTAAAATCAATATAAATGTTCTTAAAATTTACCAAAACTTATTACATATTTTGTTCATAATCCTGAAAAATTCATTGCAAGTATATTTAGTTTTTAACCAATCATTCAAGAACTAATTAACAAATTAACAATTATATTCTTTAATTGTTTTAATAGTTATTTAACAAAACTTACTACATCAACAATTGCTAAATTGTCTTTTGATTTTTGGATGAAAATTTTATGATTGAACTGCAATATCAAATAATAATTGTATATGTTCTCTATTTTTTATTTTAAGACATTTCTGTAGATGGTATTGGGGTACAAATAAATGCGCCACCAGTTGATGGAGATGCAAATACCGAGCTAATAAAATATCTGGCTTCAATACTAAATTTAAGAAAAACTGATATATCACTTGAAAGGGTTAGTCTAATGAAATATCTATTCCAAATATCATTAAAGTGCGGAGGTAAATATAAATATTTTTATTTTTTAGGGTTCAAGATCAAGAAATAAAACTATATTAGCAAGTAATACGACTGTTGAAGATGTAACTTGTAAAATAAAATTAGCTATACAAAATGGATAAAGACTAGTCTATATGTCAATTTGGTAAATTATTGGATATTCGTCAGACTGCAAAATCTAATATTTAAAATTTAAATTTACATATAATTTAATAAATTTACAATATCCACCTATTCTGTTTTACGCAGAAGATATAATTTGAAAAATTCACTCATATGGAAAATATATCTCTATATCACTATCTTCTCTATATCACTCTGTAGAGGAGCCGTTTTTGTCAGTTTGTAATATGGTGAATAACATTAAATAAAAAATAAATATAAATATATTTAATATCAAACATATTCAATAAATAATGAAAATATTATTTTATTTCGATGACTAAACAAATATAAAAAAAAACTGAATTTTGCATTTTCTTTATTGATAAAAATTAAAATTAAAAATTCATTTAAGTGAATAAGAATGAACATTATTTTTTCATTTTGATGAAAAAAAAAATGTTATTGTATATATAAGCAAATTAATTTAATGAATAAGAAGGAACATTATTTTTTCATTTTGATGAAAAAAAAAAATGTTATTGTATATATAAGCAAATTATGGCTTAGTGCCTTAGTGTTTATAATTTTGTGTAAATGCAAGATTAATAAGTTTTGTTAAAAAATAAATTATTTCCAAAAACTGGATCGAAAATGTGTAAAACGAGTACTGTAGGAATAGGTGTATTTAGTGAACTTAACTCGTATGTCAATTTTCAATTTTTTATAAAATAAACTCGTAAAAAACTATTTGTTCTTGGTTATTGCATTCAACTGAACATATTAATTTTTATTTTGTATTGTTTATCTTAATTTTTATTTGTAAATATCTTGTTAAAAATTTCGATATGATGATTTTGAAAAATAAGCAAGCACCTACCTTTGAAAAATCTATTAAACAATTTTGCAATTTGTGTTTCATTTTTAACATACATTGATTAGTACAATAAATGATTTTTTATCTATATTGGCCATCATTACGGTTGCGACCACAACTGGAACCTCCAGAAAAACTCGATCGAGATTCTGCAAAAAAGTATATGTATTATATAAGCATATAAATTATTTATTATGATGTACATTTACCTCTATTTCGTCCACTGTGAGAACTGCGGCTTCTGCTTGATCTTTTAGCACGGCCTTTGTCTTTGTACTTCTTTCTTCTGCATCCGCCAACTTTACTGCTGCTACGCGAAGATCTTGAACTATTTGTAGTACTACCAGTATTATATGATGATCTAGTTAAATAATAATCGTTACTACAATTATTTAGCTTCATAAATAAAAACATTATCATAAAATTCAAATTTAACAAAATATTTTTTTGAATTCTACAGAATGGTTATTATTGTTAGGTTTACTTTGAATGCCTCGAAGAACGTCTTGACTTAGATCTTTTCAGGCGTCTCGTGCCGGATTTACTTTTCTTCAAGCGTAATTTCAGTTTAATAACCGAAGGATTTTTAGATTTTCGAGATTTGTGTTTCGGTTTAGGTTCTTTTGTTTTTGATCTTCTTACTGGTTGAGATTTAATTTCTTCAAATAAAGCTGGATCATCTGGGTCTGTTGTCTGAAATGAGTAAAAATGATCAATAATGATGAACAAAAATGATAAGAGCAGTAAATATTAAATAATAGTATTTAATTAGTAAGAAAAGTTTACTCTAAACATATCAAGATTTTTGTTTACAATAGTTGCTCACCACTGCCTGCCCAGGTCTTAATGGAAAATCAGTTGTTGTCAATGCACAAACTTCTTTTTTGGGATTTTTATCTCTTGGATCTGCCAATGCGTCCATGGAAGGACAATCACAAATGTTATTATAATATACAGGACTATTTTGATTTAGGTAGTGAGAAATTGGTCCTTTGTAAAACATGTTGCGGGCTAATGCTAGCAAGCGTCTGTAGAATATTTTACCAGTTAAATTAAAATATTTTGTAAGCAGAAATAATAAATGTATAAAAATAGTCTATAGATACCGGCACATTAATTCTTGTTGACTTGCCGTTAAAGGAGGCAGTTTGCTTTCTGGAGTCTCTTCGACTTCCGCCTGGAGAGGATAAAGAATAAATATGATTTAAAATTAATAAATTAAAATGTTAAATATTATGATAAATATAAAAATACATGATTTATTTATTCTTAAAACCAACCTGTAATGTTTTCTTTCTGGAAGAACTTTTATGAGACTTTTTGGATTTCCCTTTTTTTGAAGTTCTATGGCTCTATAAAGAACGTAAATATATATTGAAAACATAGTGAATAAAAACATATTAATATTCATATCTAGTTAAATAATTTAAATAGAAAATATAGTATTTTTCATTTTAAGACATATTTTATATACAACAATTGGTGATGTGATGAAAAAATAGGAAAAAGCACACATTTACAGTTATTAGTGGTCAAATTAGTTCGATTTGTTTTCTATTCAGATGAATTTGTAGTCTAATCTAATGCACTATTATTCTGAAAAATATTTCATAAAATTGCTCCACAAACAAATAAGAAAAAAAACGTTTTACCTTCTCCGATTTACCCTTAGATCTTGACCTCGATCTTTTTGCGGAACGTCTTGATTTGCCTTTAGTTGATTTTCCTGATCTTGCGAATGGGACATCTCCTACGCACACACATGGGGCACCTTGATTTTCATCGACAAATGAAGAGTATGTCATTTTTGAACTTTTTGATGAAAAAGTAGGCAGCGATTCCTCTGAAACACCAGTTATTTTACAAGGATGTTGTAGTACAAGGCCTTTCAAAGTCGCCTTATTGATAATAGAAACATTTTGGTTCTTTGGTTTAAATTAATTAACTAAATTCAAAAGTGAAATGTATTAGGCATTAATGAATATTTTATTTCAATTACCTTGGCATACGCAAGTTCTTTTATCGGTCGATTGTTGTCCAAGAAACTTTGCGCACGTGCAGGTTTGCATTGGATCAGGAAAAGGATTATCAGGAATAAAAGCACCGCATATGCAATCATTCATTTCATTAATGTACATTGATCTCACCTATTGAATTTTTTATATTATTATTAAGAATATCGTATGTAAAAATGGTATATATATAGTTTTTAGGATACTCTATGTCTGTTACACCTAATATTCATTTTTAATTGATCGTGTTGTGAATGAAATCAGATTTTTTAACATAAATATTTGCACATATATAATCAATGAGATGAAGGTATATAACACAAAGTTAAAATAAAATAGTCCTCACACCGTAGAGCAGAGAATTATATTAATAAATTATGTCTTCATTGTGTAATTACATAGAAGGTAGTCATTGAAACTGCACATATTTCAATTGTAATATAAAAATATTATTAACAGTTAAAAAAATATTACAGTTATAAAAATAGTCTAATAAATATTTTAAGTAGTGCTTCAGGGATGATGTCATTAATATATTAAATTAAAAAATGTATTAGAAATGTTTCCTAATCCAATAAGCTATTCAATTAGAATAAAATGCCAGATATAAGTCAATAAATATTCTAAAATATATTTATATTCAATAAATGCTCTAAACAATTCAAGCAATTACCTTGTTCTGAAGGTCTGATAAATTATTATTGATAGGTAGCAATTCTTTTTCAAAAGTTCTGCGAGCTTTTTTGATTGGATCTTGTTTAGGAAAAAGTGTCGTAGTGCAGTAGCATTTTCTATTCGATTTTCCACATTTATCTCTACCTGGACATGAAGATGCGCCCGGATTGCATTTTATATTTGGATATCCAATGCTTTGCGGGTCGCAATCCAATGAAGAACACGACTCCATGTTGATGTATTGCTACAGAAATAATAAATATTTGAATTTTTTTTAAAAGAAACTTTAGAACAATTGAGATAAAATAAGATCAACAAATATAAGCATCGAAGTGCAATATAATAACTACCTTTATAATCTGCGATAACTTAGATATTTTTGAATAATATTTGATGTATTTTAGGTGCTATTGAAGTTCCATTTTGAGTTAATGTGTCTTTGCCCTCTATATTCATATACACTTATTTTTTATTTTACATTTTATAATTTTGATGTCAAATCTGTTGTAAATTATAAGGCTGACGCAATTGTTTTATGTTAAAAATGATGTATTTTGCTATTGACGAAGCACATATAAAATAAATGATTTTTAGAAGAATGCATAATAATCATGAATAATCTGTGTTTCTACATAATGATTTCTATTTCATTAAATTATTTTATAAAAATGATCAGCCAAATATTTGTGATTCAATCGCAGGCAGGCTTGATTTTTGAACACAAACAAAATCATTATATTTGACATTTCTTTTTCAGTGGAAAAATCTAAATTAAAAGTTATATTTAAAGTAGTCAATACAAAGTAATTATTGACTTCGGAACATTTCATGCAACGTACAACAATAAGTGAGTAAGCTTTTGATGTTTATATTTTAAAAATGCTTTTAAATTCAATCTAATGAAACATTTATATTTTGTTGCTTCACAGAATTAGTAACAATGATATTTACACATATCAAAAAAAAATATTCAAATTAACTTGAGTGTTAACTAATTTTGAACGCTTATTCTGACATGGAAGACGCAAATAAGTCTAAGAAACGGTCAAACAAATTGACAGTAGATAAAATTGAATCCCATAAGCGATTATTGGAAATAAAAGAAAAAATGAATGAGTCGGTTACTCGTATGAGTCGGTCAGTGAAGTGCGACGTGAGGTGCGCCGCGTCTAGTTGTCCTCGGCACAGGCACGGAGTCCAACATCGCCCGACCGATCTGGCTTCAATGCTTCGATTCAGCAGAGAATTGCTGCTGAAACCACCCGATGAAAACAGCGATCTAAGAAATCCCGAGGAAAACTTAGGTATTGGCGATGGCAACGACGACATAAGAATCAGTGAAATGAATTTAGACAGAGATCCATTCGAAATGCTTCAAAAAGCCATGAATGATTTAAAACCGGATGCGGTAGAACAAAAATACGACGCAGAAAATCATAAGAAACCTTTTCCACATTTCACTGCAACTGTTATAGAAGAAGAAGAGTCGATTTATTCCGAATTGGGTACGAGTGAAGATAATGAAAAACAAGAGGAGTACAAACCGCAAACGTGGAGATGCATGAGCAATATTGGAGTTCAGACTGAAGCAGTGCAACCGCTTGTGACTCGAATTAAAACTGCTTCATCCATCAAAACCAGTAATTCAGTCATAATACCAGTAAATTCTAATATGCAGTTAAGTATTACCGTCGTACCTATGCAAGTAGGCCCAGCTGCGAGCAGAACTATTATTAGTTGTAATAGCGCAGGTGACTCCACAAAGCAGAAGGCAACTGAAATTTTCACTCATATGGACATGCGAAACCAAAAGCAACATGAAATGACCCTTCATTTTATTAAAGATGGAACATCACTCAATAGTGAAGGTAAACAAACACAAAAATATTGCTCAGATATAGAAAAAATTGCGGAACAACCTGGTGAAATCAGTCCAATATCTGTATCTGAAACTTTAATCAACGTTAACAACCAAAATGATAATGTCGATAACAAAAGTGATGATGATACAATATCAATGCAATCTAAAATAAGTAATCATAAAAAAAATCATTATTTAGAATACCCAATGAGTGATTCAGCGACCTTAAAAATACCACCGATTAATGCCGGCGGTAGTGATCGCACTTCTGGCAACTTTGGTGATGGTTCATCTGTGTTTGAACCAAAATATTTGGCGCAGTCAATGTATTATAGAGAGCATAATTTACAACGTTGCGTTCGCACTATGTCACAAGTTCGTCGACAATTTCAACGCGAATTTGCTCCTTTGCACGATGAATTATCTTATATTCAAAATAGAGTACGTTGTATTTTCAGGTATACGGGTGGATAGATGTCACTAATAAAATTCCTGAAGAAGTTAAAAGATCAGCTATATTATCCACAATTTTCAGACGCCCTGAAGCATTTGGAGAACCAGAACCTAAACGTTCTTGGCCAGATCATATCCGAAAATATCCTAGTTGTAGTGTCTGTACAAGTTTCTCAGCGATGGCGATGCAAAGAAATGAAAAATCTTGCAATACAATTTGGAAAAAAAATAGTATGCATAGAAAACCTGTGGTAGTACAACAATTTCACGCAAAACCGTCTAATACCAGAAGCAATGCAGTAAAGCAATTTATGGGCTGTACAAAACATTCAAAGCCTGCAGCTCTTCCTCCTAGGCCAATTGTGTCCGTAACACTTGACGGCATGAGCTATTCTTCACGTCATACTATTCCAAGACCAATAACTCCGTACAAAGAAAATAGTACCAGGAAAGAAGCGTTTTTTAGCTCAACTATAAGTTATTTTCTAGATAATCGCACACGGCAGAGAGAGGCAACTAAACATTCTCGCAGGTATAATACTGAAAAGGTTGTTCGTGGAGAACACCACATTCTAAAAGAGATTTCACTTTGCATACAAATAGACACAATTTAGATGATTCTTCTAGCATCAGCACGCTTTCTGTATGTCCGAGTGACCAAACAATAAGCTTAGATAGTGTAATATGCAGACAGGAAGCCGATGGAAGCGTTGTTTATGAGTAGAAGCCCAAAGATGTTTTTGTTTATATGAATTTAGTAAAATAAAGCAAATATTTTTAGAACTTATATACAAGTCATGTTCTTTTCATTTGATCGAAAGATCTTAAGAGAAATTATGTTGCAAAAAAATATACACCGTATTAAAAACTAATAATAAAACGAGATTTCAAAACACTTGTGCATTACTTAAAAACGTTTTTGGACTATATCATTTATTTTTTACTTCTTAAAATGACTGTAAAAATCACAATATCTTATCATTGATGAAAATGATTCAATTAGCTTGCTACTTCTTCGGAAAAAGTACTAGGCTCAGAACGTTGAGGTTCTGGTGGAGGAGGCTCTTCAGCAGGATAAGGTTCATTCTCAGAAATATGCCGAATGGTACTTGTTTCAAAAATATCCGGATTTATATATTCTAAGCTTGGAACGATTCTAGTCATGGATAACGAAGGTGCAGCGGAAATTGTCGTCTGTATTTCTTCCTCTTGAATTACTCTATTGTAACAATTTTTCAAACATGTTATAAGCTAACTACCATAAGACATAGCGTCGTAGGCGCCGTGTTTAATTTATTTGTTTGTTCAATATTAATAATTCAAAAACTGTCATGTACTATTTTTTTTTATTATATCTTTTTCATTATAATGTGCAATTGGATAATGACAAACAAACAACAAATGATAAAAATAAAGCCGAAAAGCACGAATTCAGCTTGACGAATAAAAATAACAATTATTAATATTTTTAGAAGCATTTTTAATGAAAAAAATTGCAAAGTGACGTTCTTACACACATCAAGAAAAACACAAATAATATTAAACTTTCTCGATACCTGGAATATGTAGTGGGTGTGAGAAAATGCGGATAACATATTAAAGACGTTTGAGTTTCTTTATCAACTTTTTTAATTTTTTTTTGTCTTGGACAATACATGTTGACGTTAATTTTTTTGAAATAAATATTTGAGATTGTCAGTTCAAGGCATTCTTGGACGTAGTAGTATGACGTTAAATTTTTTAAAGGCTCAAATAGTCTTACTCAGCCCTTGATTTTGTTAAATTTGTATTATGATTACCAGATTTAAAGCTTTTTGAAAATCAATTGAAAATAAAATAAAATATAAAAGATAAATTTTAGATAATATTTCTAACTTAAATTAGACAGAGTAAAAGAAAAGTTGTTGTACTAGTAAACCCGGTGATTGTAAATCTTCAACGTTCCGAATATCGAGCAGTTGACTTGTATTTGAATTTGTTTTATTAGTAGCAAATTAATGACAATGACATGGTAATATAAAAAATAGAAATTAAAACTAAGTTGCGTTATAAAAATATACAACACATCCGGCTAAATAATTTTATTAATTGACATAATTGTATATAATTTTATCATTATTAAAAAACAAATAATAAAATTGCGTTTGTATTAATAAAATGTCAAAAATTCCACGTTCAGTTACCCAAATATGATAAAAATTTATGACATCTTTTATCAATTATGAAAAATAAAAAATAATGATACAAAACATATAAAAATATTGGAATCTGTTATTGTTATTGGTATTAATAGTAACCAACATGTAAGTAGATTAAATGAATTTATTTCACTGCTACTGTCAAAATTTTTATTTTGAAATTTTAATATACAACTCAAAATAAAAAAATTAAAACCGATAATTTCAGAGATTGCTGATTTTTACTAACAAACTTATGTAAGCAAGCGATCTAAACATTTTCAGCGAATATATTAGCATTTGTTCGAGAACATTATTATATTAGTTTTGAAATATAAACATTATACTTTCTGTACATAAATATAATACGGCCGAAGGGCAATTTAAAGGCTGAGTTAAACTCCAACACCAATAGTGTGAGACAGTGGCGTCGGAACCAAATGTTTGATGGGTGGGCTCGTTTTTTTTTTTTTTTTAGATAGGCAGCCGGTGGTCTCGTTTTTTTTAGAGATATTAGCCCA